GGGGTATTCATGTTTAAACTGTGGCATGGTATCTCATGGTATATCAGTCCGGACCAGTAGTATACACGCGCGCACACACACACACACACACACACACACACACACACACACACACACACACACACACACACACACACACACACACACACAGAGACACACACACACCCTCCCCCAACCCCCCCCCCCCCGCACACCCACACACACCCCACACACACACCCAAACCACCACCACCCACCCCCCCCCCCACCCCCCCCACCACCACACACACACACACACACACACACACTCGTGCATGTACGTGGTTCTAAGAATGAAAGGGGGCGGCGGAGCAGCCTAGTGGTTAAGGTGTTGGCTCGTCACACCGAAGACCCTGGTTCGGATTCCCCACAGGGGTACAATGTGTGAAGCCCATGTCAGATGTCCTCCACCGTGAAACTGCTGGAATATTGCTCGAAACGGCGCAAAACCATACTCACTCACTCTGAGAATGTGATATTGAACGCAACGCTTAACTCCATTTTACCTCCCCTCACTCTCTCTATATCAGACCGCCTCCGTGGTCTTGTGGTAGAGCGTCCGCCCGGAGAGCGGAAGGTCCAGGGTTCGATCCCGGGCCGCGTCATACAAAAAGACGTTAAAAGATTGTACTTGTTGTTACCCTGTCTGGCGCTCGGCATTAAGGGGCTAAATCAAGGACTGGTCGGCTCGGAGTCAGTATACTGTGTCTGAGTGGGGTATTCATGTTAAACTGCGGCATGGTATCTCAGTGAGCTAGCACTATAAATCGGCATCAGTCCGGACTAGTACAAGCAGCCACACACACACATACACATGCATGCACGTCGCTATATAAGTGCAATAATCTTGGACGCGACGTTAAACCCAATTTCACCTCACCTCACCTCTCTATATCATAAAAAATGTATACATCCTCTATCATCACCTTCCATTGTAGGTTACCTGTACCTCACAAAGATAAAGTGGTCCCATTTAACTCTAGCTAATGGGTATTGACTTCCTGTTTGCGTGTTAAGTAGAAAGTTTATCTTAAAATGATAAATTATTTAAAACGTCGCATGTATATATTTTTAACCGTCAGTGACTTAAGTATTTTTAAGGAAACAACATTCGAAATCCAATAATCAACTAAGCAATCATGTCTTGTGTGTATGGAAGCGTAATGGTGCCAAAAACAATTATCTTCAACGTAGACCATACTTTATATCTACGTGAAATTAGGCTCACATCTACATGTACGTCAATGATACTTTCATCTACGTAGATAATACTCCTCACATCAACCGTTGTACCCGTTCAAGATGGCAACATGTACCCTTTTGACGGTTTGGTTTGTTTGTTTGTTTGTTTGCCGTTTAACGCCGCACTTAGCTTTATTTCAGCTACAGTAAACTACGGTTATAACGAACTCAAAGGGACTACTTCTTTTAGTTTGTTATAATCGTAGTTCGTTATAAGCATATATACAGCATAACTACAGCAAATAGTCGGGACTATAAAGTTAGTTCGTTATATCCGTCAGTTCGTTATAAGCGTGTTCGTTATAACCGTAGTTTACTGTATATGACGTGAGGTATGCGAGTCCATGGACACAACCATGAGTCCATAGTACGAGTCCAACTATATCATCGAACCCGGGCCTTTGGCGTGACACTTTAACCACTAGGCTACCCGACCACCCCATTTAAAGTGTCGGGAATGGCCTAATGGACAGCCAGATCTACGACATCATTCAAACAAGAATTGTTTGTTTGTTCATACCTGTTTTTATGTGATTTACGCCGTAATCATTCACCTTGGTTTATAATCTCGGGGCCATCGACAGACAAGTGTGTGAGTGAGTGACCTGACTGAACAGTATTCCAGTTATATCACGGCGTGTCAGCTTAATGTGGGAGGAAAGCCCGAAAGTGATGCAGTTCCGAGTTTACCGAACACGGGTATGGTGCTGACAAACCTAGAAACATAATCAGGGAGAACCGGGATTCAAACGACCACAGATTCCTGGCATGCTCAAGGGACGCAACTCTGCACAGCGAATTTCGGGGTCTTAGGCGACTAGGGGAGCGTTGCCCTGCACCTCCTTCAGTGTCAGGCAATGATTTGGTTCGAACTTACTTCATGCACGAAGCAGGGTTTAAGTGACATCTGTAAGTCGACGGGTGTTCATTTCCTTTACCGACTAAATATTGACGTGCGAAGTTATATACAATATAGTGGGTAAGTGAATGACTTAATTTAACGTCTCACCATAGTGAATGAGTGAGTGAGTATGGCTTTACGCCGCTTTTAGCAATATTCCAGCAATATCACGGCGGGGGACACCAGAAATGGGCTTCACACATTGTACCCATGTCGGGAATCGAACCCGGGTCTTCGGCGTGACGAGCGAACGCTTTCAAACTAGGCTACCCGACCGCCCCACGTCAATTATCTCAGCCAAATGAAAAAGAAACGTGAAAATCATATGAATGGATCACTAGATCAGGGATGACACCAGGTGTTCGCAAAAAAAGGGAAGCATAGCCAACCGGTAGCACCCGTTACTTCCGATTTGAATAAAACGTGTTTGTTTGTTTGTTTGTTTTGTTGGCAGCAACATGAACTAAGACAAAACCATGGCATTTCAATACGTTCAAGTATTCACAATATACGATGCAGACCAATTTTTCTTAACAATATCAAAATCAAACGGTAGTATTAGTAAAGAGTTCTTGCTAATTTATTATACCCTTGCGATTGCAAAGTTCACGCAAATATGCTTGACAGTGAAATCTTTCATCACAAGGGTATGGATGTCGTAAGAGGCGACTAACGGGATCGGGTGGTCAGCCTCGCTCACTTGGTTGATGCATGTCATTGTGTCCCAATGACGTGGATCGATGCTCATGGTGTCAATCACTGTATTGTCTGGTCCAGACTCGATTATTTACAGACCGCTGTCATATAGCTGGAATATTGCCGAGCGCGGCGTTAAACAACAAACTAACAAACAAACATCCCAAGGGATAACTATTAGCAGTCGATATCAATGGATAAAACCGCACACACGCGCGCGCACGCAAAATAAGAAACAATTTAAAAGAAATACCACTTATTTATTAAAATACTAGAGGAAATCGTCAACTGCAAACTCACATGCACACACAAACACAAACACACACAATAAATGTAAACATTTAAAATGCGAACCCCGCCTTTAAGAAAGCCAGAACCCGTCACGTGACAAGCTCTGCATGGTACATTTCAATAAATTTCACATATGAAGCCGTTTACTTTGCTGCATGTACGGTCGTTCCAGTAGTTGCCGAGGAACACGCTACCCGACAGTGCCACACAGTCCTCTCTGACTACCCGGCCGCTCAGTTCCCTGTAGGTATGGCTTGGCTCATCCCTGCCCCAGTCAGTGTATCCTAGGGGGGTCTCGTCTGTCCACGCAAAACTTTTCGTTTCCTTGAAATATCTAAGGCCCAACCAGAGATAAGCTGCAAGAGAAACACGCATTTACATTCAGCCAAGTTGGCGGCCATCTTGAATTTTCTACCACCAGGGGGCTCTGCTGAGCTGGATCCATATCCACAAATGTTTTGGAACGGGGTGGGCTTATATCTATCAAAAACTTTAAATTGTCTGCCACACCGATTACATTGCCACAAAGTTCGTCAACATCCCTCAAAAATGTCATCAAATGAGTTCGGACAAGTAAACACGAACAGGGATTTTCCGGTACCAAGAAGTTTCTTTTCAACGGAGGGACCCCGTAAGTAAAACAATTTAGCTACGGAAACAATACATCAGCAAAGCTTTTTCCAGCGAAGGCAACTACTCACAATCAATACGTACGTGGTCTAGATAATACGTTTGTTGGTCAACGCCGCACTCAGCAATATTCCAGCTATATGATGTTGGTCTGTAAATAATCGTGTTTGGACCAGACAATCCAGTCCCTCGTTAGTTGCCTCTTACGACAAGCATAGTCGCCTTATACGGCAAGCATGGTTTGCTGAAGACCTATACTAACCCGGATCTTCACGGGCACTCAAGCATGGGTTACTGAAGGCATATTCTACCCCGGATCTTCACGGGGGAGACAAGCATGGCTTGCTGAAGTCCTATTCTACCTAAGATCTTCACGGGGGAGACATGGCTTGCTGAAGTCCAATTCTACCCCGAGGAGTCAAGCATGGCTGGCTTGCTGAAGTCCTATTCTACCCCGGATCTTCACGGGGGAGACAAGCATGGCTTGTCGAAGTCCTATTCTTTCCTGGATCTTCACGGGGGAGACAAGCATGGCTTGCTGAAGTCCTATTCTATCCCGGATCTTCACGGGGAGACAAGCATGGCTTGCTGAAGACCTATTCTACCCAGGATCTTCACGGGGGAGACAAGCATGGCTTGCTGAAGACCTATTCTACCCCGGATCTTCACGGGGAAGACAAGCTTGCTGAATGCCTACTGTGCCTCGGATCTTCACGTTGTAACCCTGTTCAAATAACGTTGGAGCAAGAGTTTTATTACGATCTGCGAAAAAGAAGTACCTGGTCGTGTCCAACTGCTTTTTATCTTAATATTCTTCTTGATAGCATCCTCCTTTTGTTTTGTGTCAATCTTGACCAGGGACCCTCCCTCAGTCTTACACACAGCTAAAGCTGCATCCCAGGACAGTTGGGTCTCGTGTTTCTTGACGTTCATCTTGAACTTCCCAGCCTTGAAAGATCGATACCCAAGTCTCTTGGCTACAAATGACATGAAACTCCGGTAGAGTTTTCTCTTGATTACAAAGAATATACGGATCTGCATCCTAAACCTCAAAATACAACGGGTTTGTTTGTTGTTTAACGCCGCACTATGCAATATTCCAGCTATATGACGGCGGTCTGTAAGTAATCGAGTCTGGACCAGACAATCCAGTCCCTAGTAAGTCGCCTTTTACGACAAGCACAGTCGCCTTTTACGGCAAGCATGGGTCGCTGAAGACCTATTCTACCCAGGATCTTCACGGGGGAGACAAGCATGGGTTGCTGAAGACCTATTCTACCCCGGATCTTCACAGGTCACGGTTAAGTCAGTTAACTGACAACTAAATGTTTGTTTCTTGGTACTTAAACGTTTACTTAAGGGGAATCAGTCCAGTGGATAAATGTTTGTTTGTTTAACACTGCAGTCAACAATATACCATCTTAATCCCGACGAGATGAAACGGATAATAAGAGCTATAAACCCCTTTCCATAATCATTTGACACCTCTACTAAAGACCCGTGATGACCCGGGGTAGAATAGGTCTTCAGCAACCCATGCTTGCCGTAAAAGGCGACTATGCTTGTCGTAAAAGGCGACTAACGGGATCGGGTGGTCAGACTCGCTGACTTGGTTGATGCATGTCATCGATCCAAATTGCGTGGATCAATGCTCGTGGTATCAGTCACTGGATTGTCTGGTCCAGACTCGATTATTTACAGACCGCCGTCACATAGCTGGAATATTGCTGAGTGTGGCGTTAAACAATAAACCATCCAAACCCCTACTAAAACGAACATTGTCCATTGTACGATTCCGACTACACATATGAGTATGAATCACCATCAAATAGTGATGACACCAGATGTTCGTTTAAAGCTGCGACTATCCTGTTCCCCCGGTGGCACGCGTCACAAACACATGGAAAGGCAAGTCAAGTGTTCACCTGAATAAATACGGGAGCAATATGGTACAGATCAAAATAGGGAATTACATCCGACATTATGTTTCTCACTGATAAGTCATATTCTACAATAAGACTTTTTAAAGGCTTTATTAAGGCATTGGGTGTTGTTACCCTTATCAATAAATATAGCGACAAAACCCTTTCCATATCCAATAGATTGTACATTTCCGAATATATCATGAGCATGTGGTTATGAATCACTATCAAATAGTGATGACACCAGGTGTTCGCAAAAACGAGAGCATTTCCTAGCCAACCGGTGGTACCCGTCACAAACACATGCAAAGGCAAGTCAATTGTTCACCTGAAAAAAACATGGGAACATAAGGTACAGGTCAAAATAGGGAATTGCACTCGACATTACTTTGCTCCCTGATTTGTCATATTTGACGTTAAATATTTTTAAAAGCTTAAATAAGGCATTGAATGTTGTACCCCTGTTCAAATAACGTTTGAGCAAGTGTTTTATGACGATCTGTGAAAAAGAAATACCTGATCGTAACCTAAGTTTCTTCTTGATAGCATCCGTCTTTCGTTTGTTGTCAATCTTGACCAGCGACCTTCCCTCAGACCCCCGCACAGCTAAACGTGCATCCTTCAAAGATCGTGGTCTCGTGGCTACAAATGACATGAAACGCCAGTAGAGGTTTCTCTTGATTACAAAGAGTATACGGATCTGCATCCTAAACCTCAAAATACAACTGGTTTGTTTGTTGTTGGGTTTTTTGTTTAACGCCGCACTCAGCAATATTCCAGCTGTACAACGGCGGTCTGTAAGTAATCGAGTCTGGACCAGATAATCCAGTGATTGACAAAATGAGCATCGATCCACGCAGTCTGGACCAGACAATCCACTGATTGATATCATGTCCATCGATCCGCGCAATTGGGATCAATGACATGCATCATCCAAGTCAGCGAGCCTGATCACCCGATCCGGTTAGTCGCCTCTTGTCACAAGCATAGTCGCCTTTTACGGAAAGCATGACTGACCTATTCTGACCCGGATCTTCACGGATATATTAACACGTAATATTCCCGCAATGCATGTACTGTTCAAAACCATATTAACCTAACTCATTTAGTCCGTCTCCTTAGGAAGAAAAAACATTTAATTTCTCTTGAGTCTAAGGCTATTGTTAAAGATATGAAGACACGATAACAATTTACACATGTTATATTAACGAACATTGGTGTCAAATAATCCCTTTCTACAGTCACGAACCGTTCAAGTATTGCTCCAGTCTACCCCCTGGGATCCCGGATTTTTGTTGTTGTTTTTTGTTTAACGCCGCACTCAGCAATATTCCAGCTATCGTGAGCATCGATCCACGCAATTAGGTTACGGTGACATGCATCAACCAAATCAGCCTGTAATCATTGAGCCTGTAAAGGTACATAAATACAAAGAGACGTTCTTCAAGCCCGTGTATACTTCTTTAGCGTCCTTTGAAGAATACAAGGCTCATTTTTTCAAAAATATATTTTGAATATACAGATATGAATTAGTGTGCATCCTCACAGGTAGGGTAGAACTGCAGGGAAACGACCAAGTCATTGAGCCTGACCACCCGATCCCGTTAGTCGCCTCTTACGACAATCACAGTCGCATTTTACGGCAAGCATGGGTTGCTGAAGACCTTTTCTACCCAGATGTTCACGGGTCGGATCCATTTAGTCGCCAAATGCAAAACATCCTGGCGACAACAAACACGGGCTCTAACGTACACATGATTCCATATCATATCAGACCCGTGAAGATTCCGGGGTAGAATAGGTCTTCAGCAACCCATACTTGCCATAAAAGGTGACTACGCTTGTCGTAAAAGGCGACTAACAGGATCGGGTGGTCAGGCTCGCTGACTTGGTTGATGCATGTCATCGATCTCAAGTGCGTGGATCGATGATCATGATATTAATCACTGGATTGTCTGGTCGAGACTCGTTTATTTACAGACCGCCGTCATATAGCTGGAATATTGCTGAGTGCGGCGTTAAACAACAAACCAACCAACCAACCAACCATATCATATCACAAACCTTGAGGCATACCTTTCGATCTTGCGGGCACTTTGAGCTCCTCTGGGGCACAGCGGAGATCCCACCCGATTGCACGAGAACAGGCGGACGCCCTCAACTGCTGACATGCAACCTGCGTCTTGTTGTAGATTGGCATCTCCTCACAAACATGGCAGTAAAACACTGATGCAAGTATCACCAAAGCAAAGCCTCTCATCCTGCGTCTTTCACAGTGCAATTTTCAATGTGTGTATTTATATATATTATACATTAACTGACTGGTAGTCTTGAACCATCAGATAAAGGTCAGTCGACATGTGATATATTCAGTATGGAACTCAACTCAAACAAAGAGCAATTGACGAATCTCATATTCCCTCTCTGAAGAAGTGATACTAGTATGTAATAAAACATTCATTAACGGCAAATACTGATGTTCTTCAACACATTCGGAGACAATATTTCTTCCAATAAATTTATAAGTGAATGAGTATGGTTTTACGCCGCTTTTAGCAATATTCCAGCAATATCACAGCGGGGGACACCAGAAATGGGCTTCACACATTGTACCCATGTCGGGAATTGAACCCGGGTATTCTGCGTGCCGAGCTAACTCTTTAACCACTGGGCTACCCGACCGCCCCAGTCTCCGAGACTGAGATTAAACAAATTATATCAGCCCTTCACTTAGAGTCTTCGGAGTATAGAGTATAGAGTATAGAGTATAAAAATAAGCTGTTCCGTGCAACACGCTTCAGTCGATCCAAAACTTGAATATTTATCAGAAGTAATAAATTTAATTTCAATGATAAAGGATATGCGTTAGGTATGGAATACTGTCAGGGACATTCTCGCGATTTCGCCTTCTCGCGATGCCGACCTTTGGAAACGAGCAAAACATGCCAAAAGTGCGTGAAACCGAGAACGCGAGACTTTGGCCAAATCTCGCGTCTTCGCGATCTTTCATTCTTTTTTTTGTCCCTCAGTTCTAATTCTGTAGAGCATTAATTGTTTTTCACAGAATCTTTATTCCAAAAATCACAGTCATCATTCCCAGCCTGTGGGCCTTAACGACGCAGTGCGAAAAGAACAGAGTGGTTTAATGTGTGTCTAGCTCGGTGCTCATACTATCAATCACTGGATTGTGTGGTCCAGTCTCGAAGTAGCTCCAAGTAGCTGTAATACTGCTGAGTGCGGCGTTAAACAAGGTGAGGTGAGGTGAAATGGGGTTTAACGTCGCGTCCAAGATTATTGCACTTATATAGCGTGTACTTGTGTGTGTTTGTGTGGCTGCTTGTACTAGTCCGGACTGATGCCGATTTATAGTACTAGCTCACTGAGATACCATGCCGCAGTTTAACATGAATACCCCACTCAGACACAGTATACTGACCCCGAGCCGAGCAGTCCTTGTTATAGCCCCTTAATGCCGACAGCGTAACAACAAGTACCATCTGTTAACGTCTTTTGGTATGACGCGGCCGGGGATCGAACCCCGGACCTTCCGCTCTCCGGGGGAAGCTCTACCACTAGACCACGGAGGCGATCCGGCGTTAAACAAAGCGACGAGCAAACGCTTTAACCACTTGGCTACCCGACCGCCCCAATTAGGTTATATAAGCTTAAAATATTCCCATTTACCTTCGCGCGTATAAATAATGAAACAGGTTCGTATTGGTATAACCACTTTGTTGCGAGTTAATTCCAAAGTTCCCATGCGGAATTTACGACAGAAAGCACATACAACACTATATTGTGAAATCAGTAAATAATCAATAAATAAAAAACAAATCATATAAAAACACACAGGATTAGGTTTACAATCATAAAAGGCACCAGAAGGGTCAACTATGTGTCTGTAGCAATAAATACATAAATATACATAAAAACACATAAATACTATACATAAATCAATGCATACCTCAATATCAAGAATGAATCCAGAATGCTTCGTTCTTGAATCAAGGAAACAGTTTTGAAAACAGGCAAAAAACTCGGTGTTTTGCGATAGGTATCCGATCAGAGCAAGCAGATAAGTCTCAAGGAAAAGGACTCAGTCTGTCTCCCTGGGTATGCTGTGCTGGCGAGCCTGACCATCTGATCCCGTCACTTAGCATTAAGTCACCTGTTACGGCAAGCATGGGTTGCTGAAGACCTATTCTAACCCGGATCTTGACGGATCTCGTCTGATGTGGATAGCCCCATAGAGCCTGCGCTTCCGCCTGTTGTCAGACAGTGGGAAGTGTAGCAAGACAATGGTGTCGCCTTAAGAATATGTCTAGTAGGTTAAACAAACACGTGCTTAACTGGGCTGATAGATACGCTGTAAATGGTTGTAAAAATTGGAATGGTAGGGTAAGAAAGAAGTTTAATAATATGGATTTAGGACATCTATTAAACGCTACAGGTTTTATTGATAAATTTTCTGTTTGTACACAGGTGGAACAATGGTGTAAAAAAGAATATGTTACCCGTTGGAGCGATATGTTAAGAAAGGAAGAGGGGCGAAATGGGCTTAATAAATTGAGAATGTATCGATGTTACAAACAAGTATATGGGACAGAATACTATGTTTCAAATAAGATGCCCAGAAACTATAGATCGGCACTAGCCAAGTTTAGATGTGGTGTGGCTCCTATTCGAGTGGAAACCGGTCGATACGAAGGTGTACCTGTCAATAATAGAAGATGTTTCCACTGTAATGACAGCGTAGAAGACGAGGTCCATGTTTTGTTTCACTGCGCATTATATGATGATATCAGGGCAACTCTTTTTAATGAATGTATTGATAAATCTTATAATGTTTTAGATATGCCTGATGTCGACAAACTTTGTTTTATTTTCAGTGACTCCAGTGTGTGTTTTATACTTGCCAAAGTCTGCTTTTTAATTCTTAATCGTAGAAAACATCTTTTATATGGATAACTTTTTACTATATCATCTTTATATCATTTATGTACAAATTCTGTGATAATTCGTCTCTCATAATTCTATTGAATGGTTCTGTACATTTTATCTATGTCAAGTTGTATAAAGCTGTTTTATGTATGTACAGGAGTGAGACGTTAATAAACTATTGTCTGTCTGTCTGTGAGTGCTTGTACAGGGGAATTAATTCTGTTGCCAGGAGACGGAGTGGTTGCTGAAATGTTCTGATGCTGATTTCAGGTGTTCTTTCTGGATGGAGGACTTGTGTTTTTGGGGGCCAGGGGGGGCCCGGTCATCTAAGGCGCCGCAATTCACTGTGCAGATTTACGTCCCTTGGTTACGCTAGAGTGAGTGAGTGAGTTGGGTTTAACGCCGCTTTTAACAGTATTCCAGTTATATCACGGCGTGTCAGCTTAATGTGGGAGGAAAGCCCGAAGTGATGCAGGTCTCAGACGGTTACCACTTCGGTGAAACCAACGAGCACGGGTATGGTGCTGACAAACCTAGAAACATAATCGGGGCGAACCGGGAGTCGAACGCACAATCATGGGTTTCTGGCGTGCCCAAGGGACGCAACTCTGCACAGCGAATCGCGGCGCCTTAGACGACTGGGCCACCCGTGCCCCCGGGTACGCCAGAAACCTATGATCGTGGGTTTGAATCGCTGTTCGCCCCGATTATGTTTCTAGGTTTGTCCAAATCATACCCGTGCTCGTGGGTTTCATCAAAGTGGTAAACACCTGAGACCTGCATCACTTCGGGCTTTTCTCCTCCATTATAAACCTATTCATTGGGATCGCTATTAAGTAACAAACTTCTTTCTGTAGGCATTAAAACCTATTGTGAGGTTTTACTTTCCAGTCGGGTTAAATCTCATAAACAGGGACGTTTTAATGTCCCTGGGATTTTATAGGATATTCAAGCCATATTTGCTATAATATCCCAGGGATTTTATATAATGTCCTGGGTATTTTATTAATATAACTTCCGTTCAGATTGTAACATGTAATGAAATGTAAAATCAAATGACAAATATTTTCTTTATATTCCCGAGGATCGAACTCGCAACCTTCATATATAATCCTTCATAGATAATCCTCACTGGTTTTTAGAATGTCTTTTTCAAGATCCGTACGCCAGCAACAGATATTTTACGCGCGTTTCCTAAGGTTCATGGAAAGTATGTTCGAAACATAAAAATGTTGATAAATGTTGTTTTAAGTTTTTTTTTCGGTTTATAAGTATGGAAAAACACTTTCCCTCGGTTTTGGTAGACAGAGCATGCCCTGGGGGTCGGGAAAAACCGCGGGGGATTCGCTTTTTACCTCTCCCCAGGGCATGCTCTGTCTATCAAAACCTCGTAAGCGTGTTTTCGCCAGTACATAATCTGACAAGCCTGAAGATAACGAATATTTTTTCAAAGTGGCGTTAAACTCGACTCACTCGCTTGTGTTCTTTTAGGCGTGTGTCTGCAGGTGGGGAGGTTTCACCGTCATTACGCTGGCCACCAACAGCACAGTCGTAGCAATACTTCACAGTTAAACTGCTAAAACACCAACACACACACACACACACACACACACACACACACACACACACACACACACACACACACACACACACACACACACACACACACACACACACACACACACTGCAGCTTTACTACATGTAACGAATCTTTGGCAATATTTTGTAGCTGGTGGAAAGTTTTCATAGTCAAATTTTGTCTGTACGTCACTCCCTCTGAACATTCCGGGTTAGAAAATGTCACGTCACTCCCTCTGAACATTCCGGGTTAGAAAATGTCTCCAACAGCCGCAATTGTCTGTCTGATCGGCTTGGCAGGCTCCGTGGCTTGCTTCAATACATGTCATCGCACCCGATGTTGCTCAGAATATCAATCCGGTGGTCAGACTGAGTGAGTGAGTGAGTGGTAGGGTGGGTGGCAGGGTGTTTGAGTGAGTGAGTGAGTGAGTGAGTCGGTGAGTGAGTGAGTGAGGTTTTACGCAGTGGTTACCAGCATAACGGCGGGGGAATTTGTACGCATCATGTGTAGTGCTGACAAACCTAGAAACATAATTGGGGCGAACCGGGAACCGAACCCACAATCATAGGTTTCTGGCGTGCCCAAGGGACGCAACTCTGCACAGCGAATCGCGGCGCCTTGAACGACTGGGCCACCGTGCCCCCCTATTCTAACGCGAATCTTCACGGGTCTTTACACAAGTAAAAACAAGTTCAATAAATTTCACAAATGAATCCGTACTTTCTTCTGCAGTTGCAATCATTCCAGTAGATG